TAACACCAATCACATCACCAATCATTATTCCCGGTAGGGAGGGGGGTTGTTATTAGTCTGGAATAAACCTACGCTTTCGGAAGATACAGAGAGACAATGTAAATTCCTTTAAAAGTTAGCAAAATACACTGGAAAAAATCGCGCGCTTTAAAGGTTGTAAATTTTATGTAAATATGATGTAAGTGTCCAAAATTCTGTAAATTTGATGAGATGAATTTTGAAGAGTGCTTTGTAAAGTGATTCGCGCATGATCAGTTTGCCCTATTTATCTCAGAACATATTTGTACGTCAATTTCTCCAAATTAGTGTTGGAGTTTTTGAAGCCGTTTAAAACACTCCCTCTCGTGTTTTAAACTATACATATAATTTCGTCTATAGGAGATATATTAATTGTACTATAAAACAGCATACCATTCTCTTTCCATTTCTTCGTCGACGTCGAACGATTAATGAAGAAGCGCCTGTGTATGAGTCCGAGGTAACTAATACCAGAGAAGTTAAGAAACAGAGAAGGAAAAGTCCCACCAATGCGGATGCCATTGCGACGAATGTGAGCGAGCTGTTGATCACAGCATATAAAGAGTTCTGTGCCCACACCTGTTTGAAAKTCAACAGGATATCGATTGCCCCAGAAAAGAGTGTTATSAAATAAATCAATTTCATTTCTATTCCATTTCATCCAGATAGTATGATATTTATTTATGTACTACTGATTCAGRTCACCGCGCCGTAATAAACTTCCTCATGTAAAACGGCCTTGAAATCTAAAGTACTAAATAATCGAAACAATCATCATATGGAAGCTGCTCATTTTGCATCTAAGGTGAGGCAGTGAATTAAATTCATGACCAAGGGATTTGAAATTAAATATTTCTAATCGCCCAAACTGTTGTAGAGAACTTCACCAACAGGATGTAGATTGGCTAAGCTCATAAGGATATATAGCAGCCTTATCCGAAATCCTACTCAGTCTGGACGATATTTCGATATAATCGATTAATGTAAGAAAGTCTGTTGTATAATAAAGCAAAGGGGTCTAGCTCCCGATTTGAACGATACTTTTTGAGAAGGTAGACTATGAAATCTCCTATTGTGAATCGTGACAGTCCTGATAACCGTTATGAAATACTTTTAAAATGACTAAAACCCGCATTGTTACATTATAACTATTTTATACTCTGTGATTTCAGATCTCTCCAGACCGTGCATTGAATAATGATTAATAGTTTGATTTAAAGAGGACTGTCGATAAGCACTAAGGTGAAACTCATTATCCACATCTGTTTCATTTGGGTTCATATTCTTTAATCTATACACTAATATCCAGCTATCCGTAGTGTCAAGGACACAGCATTTTGATTATTATTTTTTCAATTTATACTTTAATAGATCTTGTGCTTKAAGAGATCGTAGTAGTTAGACGCGACATTTTATAAGTACTCTCGCTGTTTATGGAGATGTAAAAACGATATCAGATATACCGATAATTTCTGGAGAAGTACATCCGCAAGTTCCAATCTGATGAAATTGACGAGTCTACCACGACATTTGTAAATTGATCCTTATGACCACTATTACACAAAAACCGATGAAGATTCAAAACTATACCAATAATCTTATTTYGGGACAATAACCCCTCACGATCCAAGTACCGCACATATACAAGCGCTACCATCGTGGCTCATACATTACATACACTCATCATCCTGGTACTGCATGTTCMACATTATGTTGTGTATGCTAACGAGTGCGGCAATGTACTAGAGTGTGCGGCTACCTGTGTTACGTTTATTACGTCTGCTGACCGCGTGCTCTACTTTGTGCAAGGTAGTAAAAGGTTCTATTAAAAACAAACATATCACTCAGATGACGCAATAAAAGTCTATGTAAAACAAGCGGTAATTACTACCAACTATCCACCGCAAAATGATAATTACGTCGAATCCAGATTTGGTTCCAGGACAGAGTTATCGCATAACATGTTAGTTCCATGTATTTTGTTGTGGAAAAGAAACAGTCAGTAAAAATTAATCATAGTCAGCTTTATTTTTTTTCAAAATTATTCTAAACGAGTTTAACAATAAAAACTTTCAAGCTAGTTTTTAGTCTCTTAGCTTTCTACAACTTTGTTCTTTCAATAGTTTTCATTCTGAAGCACCTAAATGAAATAATAAAAGAAAAACGTTAATGAAGTTAAAATAAATAGGTTTTGAAKTGGTTGGTTGAGATAATTTTTAACTGAAATGCTATTTCATAGACCATATGAAAAAGGGCGTGGCGATCTTAACGCCTTAGCTTATAAGATTTTTATTGTCATTGCTACCCGTTGAAAGAACATATTACAATGAATAAGATCCTCTGAAAGTTTTAATGCTCTAACATTTAAGTTCCAGAAATTACAGGTGTTTGAAATTGTAAATGTTTGAGTGAAAATCAGTATGGAGGCCTGACCAGCCTCGTTTTCACGTTTTTGTTACATTTCAAATGCTCGTAACTCTGCTGATATTCAGCATTTGAAACTAAAACTCCGCCAATTTACTAATTGAGATATATTCCGTCTTGCGGTGAAAACAGGTATTTAAGAATATGGGCCGTTTAATKTACTCATTCCCAGTCTTCTGCTCGTTTTTCATATGGTCAATGTGGTTGCCCTGATTTTATTAGTATGAATGTATTTTTAGAATACATTAAACAATTGGGAGTGGTCTATGGGGAATTATTATGGACGTGGTTTGTGTTATGTGGAAAATTGACAGGTCTTCACTACGACGCAATACAAACCCCAATGCACGCGCTCAAATAGGCCTTTTTCATGAAACGGCCACTCGGTACTAAATCCGACATACTGGATGGCAAACTGAGAACGTAAACAATCTCAAAAACAAAAGGAACGCAGCCCGTCAAGCTTGACTTTTTCTTTGTTTTAGTGAACATCCCAGGTATCTTGACATGTAACATGTAACAATTTCATGCAAAAATTATATTCAAGATATAATTGATATAATGAGCAGTCGAAAAWGAAATATCGTGATCCCAGCGCAAGAAAGCAACACAAGCATAATCATATTTCATCTTTGTTATAGAAAAGCGACTAAGTGTTTTAATGAATTAATAACTGGTATTTTCATTGGTCAGTACTRCGTTTACTTCGGGTAGACTCCCTTGAAAGGGGGYGGGTTCCWCGCCGTCCCTTTTAGGGATTGAAATCAGTGTTTTAATCTCGCTTATAGTAATAATGACAAAAATTTCCACCAACGGATCTTTGTTGTCCATTTTAGGGTATAAGACAGCCCTAGTCGGCAGTATAAGATTATAAAAAAGTATTTTATCATATGCTATTATCACTGAAGTGGAATGGAATTTTTCTAATTTGTTGAACGCATGTGAATTTACGGATACTTGCGCCAAATCGCATGAGCAGACGGCGTTTCTTTGATTCACATTTCTTAGCTACACTGAATACAATCACACTGATTAAGATATTGTATGTTAAAAGGCTCAAAATCATCAAATATACTTCTAGAAAATGTTTAGATGGTTCATAGATTTTAGATGCCTTGTTTTTCATGGAAATATGTCGCTCATTAGGTTCATAGATTTAGATGCCTTGTTTTTCATGGAAATATGTCTCTCATTAGGTTCATAGATTTAGATGCCTTGTTTTTCATGGAAATATGTCTCTCATTAGGTTCATAGATTTAGATGCCTTGTTTTTCATGGAAATATGTCTCTCATTAGGTTCATAGATTTAGATGCCTTGTTTTTCATGGAAATATGTCTCTCATTAGGTTCATAGATTTAGATGCCTTGTTTTTCATGGAAATATGTCTCTCATTAGGTTCATAGATTTAGATGCCTTGTTTTTCATGGAAATATGTCTCTCATTAGGTTCATAGATTTAGATGCCTTGTTTTTCATGGAAATATGTCTCTCATTAGGTTCATAGATTTAGATGCCTTGTTTTTCATGGAAATATGTCTCTCATTAGGTTCATAGATTTAGATGCCTTGTTTTTCATGGAAATATGTCTCTCATTAGGTTCATAGATTTAGATGCCTTGTTTTTCATGGAAATATGTCTCTCATTAGGTTCATAGATTTAGATGCCTTGTTTTTCATGGAAATATGTCTCTCATTAGGTTCATAGATTTAGATGCCTTGTTTTTCATGGAAATATGTCTCTCATTAGGTTCATAGATTTAGATGCCTTGTTTTTCATGGAAATATGTCTCTCATTAGGTTCATAGATTTAGATGCCTTGTTTTTCATGGAAATATGTCTCTCATTAGGTTCATAGATTTAGATGCCTTGTTTTTCATGGAAATATGTCTCTCATTAGGTTCATAGATTTAGATGCCTTGTTTTTCATGGAAATATGTCTCTCATTAGGTTCATAGATTTAGATGCCTTGTTTTTCATGGAAATATGTCTCTCATTAGGTTCATAGATTTAGATGCCTTGTTTTTCATGGAAATATGTCTCTCATTAGGTTCATAGATTTAGATGCCTTGTTTTTCATGGAAATATGTCTCTCATTAGGTTCTATCGCTGCCTTAGGTATTGGTTGCAGATCTACAATGCCGTTTCTATTCTCCCGTCTGTTGACGCAGCAGTAATCTCCTCGCCGCTTCTCGAAAGTCAGAAAGGAATATGATATAAATAAAAGGACTAAAGCAACCGTTTACAATAGGAAATAAGATATTTATAAAATAAAACAAGTCAATGCTATCTCCTACGATAATATCTGACATTATAAACATCTCTATCGACCAGAGAGAGTTAAGAATGAAAAATGGGAGCCAGCAACACGTATATAGGAGCAACGATGCGAGAACCATTTGAACGGCTGCTCTCGTCCGCCGTGTTCTTCTATTTCTCTGTTGTTCGTTAAAGTGGGCATGAATGGCTTGAGGTTTAGACAGTTTCCTTATTATCAGAATACATAATACATATATTACGATTACAATAATAACACATGACCATGCATCGATCAAATCAAAAGTTAATACTGCAACATAGCTGTCTATGATGGAGCCTGATATTATACACCAGCCCATTTTATCGATTTCGACCGTGTGAAATACATTGAAAGCAACCATGACTGCACTAGGAATTAACCAGCAGAAGCCGACCACAACCAAGCGTTGTTTTAGTGTATATGGCTGGGATATCTGCAACGTACGCTTGGTTGCTCTGTATCGTTCAATGCTGATTACCAATAGAGTAACAAATGAAACTCTATATGTRACATTGTAGAGAAACACAAATGCTTTACAGAGAATGTCACTGAGGATGTTAGGAGCTGGAGGGAATTTTATGGATATTTTGCAGTTCGATAGCCAATAAATGTCATGTAATAACATAAATAAGATGAAACAGGCATCTGACACGGCCATGTTGATGATCAAATGATGCAGGTTCTTTCGAACTGTATATTTTAAAGCRAGTACTATCACAAAAATGTTTCCTGCAAGTCCCAGAATAATCAGCAGAATTACTGCAAGACGTTTAAGATTTTCCTCTAGATCACTATGCGATCCATACTTGCAGTTCCAGTATTCCAAACTGATGTTAGAATTTGAAACGTTCATCGTGGGCTGGACTCTGTATCAGTAAAACCGCATAGGCTAAGCCGTGTAATCTGCTTTTGGGCACGCTACATATATTACCAAGAAGTCGTGTCGATGCTTTATATATATTATCAATTTAATTGGCAAACAAGCTGTTCGCAGTTTTTTCTCATTAGTGACTCTAAACTGACATTATTTACAAGCCGATCGTTTTTTTGTGGGATTTATTGATATTGTGAGATGTAGTTAAAGAAAAGTGTAATAAGAGTTTGGTATTTAGGGACCGATTAAAGGAGCAATGTGTTGTAAATGGTGGGAGGTTTTTCATTGATTGTTTCCTTGTGTCCGCTATTATATGTGGTAATTATCACCACCCATGTAAATAGGAAAAAAAGCAATGCACCTGTAGATTTGTTTTCGAGATGGGAACTTTTGAGGGAAAAAAATCTTTTAAACTTTTAATAATCTATGTGGAATAAAATTTCCCTAATTTTATGCCAATTTAAAACGTCAATATACAGTTTTGAAAAAAAAAGGAAAATATTAAGAAAAAAACAAAACAACAACAACAAAAACAGCAAGCGAGCAAGTCAGTTACTGATGTTTGATTTTGCGCGGGATTTGCTAGTGCACTCATGCATTTAGGTCGACTGGCCAATAGTTTAAGTTTCTCTTACCCGCACCTGATCCAGTAACTTTGATCTCAACGATTAAGTTCACAAATTTAGTGCTTTTGCCAAAAGCATTGTTAGCCTCACAGGAATACAGTCCTTCATCGTGCTTGGTTGATCGAGTAATGATGTAACGAATCCCAATCTGCTTGCTTCCAGATGAAATCGACTCGACCTTAACAGGTCCTCCAAGGACATCTAAAATACCAAAACAAGAAAACAATGATTAATAAATAACTATGTGATTTCGAAAATATCCAAACACGTTTTAACGCAATCACAACTCCATTAAATTTTTACATACTTTGCAAGATTTTGGTTGCTAAAATTATAGATCTACTGGTGATCTAGAAATGCTTTTAGAGTGTTAGTGCTGGTGTTTTCAAGTTCTAAATCAAAAAACACCTTCCATTTTCCAAAATTTTGGTCGTCAAGATATTTTTTCATCCAAATTGCTTTTAGAGCTTTATTGAAGGATTCTAGGTCGAGCATTTTAAGTCCTCCCTCTTTGTAGTCCATAATGATTGTCTGAGTCGTATACAATTGATTATATACCTGGTGCTGGTCGGACTTTGGTAACTTTTATTGCTGGTGTTGGTGGTCCAGTTGCTTTGCACACAAACTCTACACGATCACCTTCATCGACGGTAATAGCTTTTGGGCTAAACTCAGTCACCGTTGGTGCAACTAAAACATGAAATGATTAATACAAAACTAGCATCGACAATACAGATCAATACAAGACAAAGTACAAGGAAATAAATATGCCTCTATTCTATAGTTATATGTATAGATATAGCATTTTTAATTCATAAGGATTGATTGCCTATATGCCCAATAGTCGTTTCTACGGTAAAACGCCACTAAACAAAGAAAAGAGACGACGACGCACTTTATGAAACAATTTTGAAAGTGTCGTTAGCAACGACCGCTGCGTTGCAGAATCTATACCATATTACTTCAATAAATCTATGGAATTGCTTATTTAACTAACACTGCGATATWCTAAGCTATTTATGGGGTAGAGCAACTTACATAGGGACCGCGCAGCATATTTATGTATGGGGGGAACCTCGGAAATGCGATTTCCACCACTTTTGAGTGGTTTTCAGAAAATATTTTATTCAGTGATTCTATATGAAGATATCACTTGACACTGCAAGGCAAAAGTATAAGGGATAGTAGAGGTTACTTTTTTCACATTTCCTAATGAGAAATTAAAAAAAGAGCCCGCCCAATTCCCCAACCTGCTCCGCGGTCCCTGGCTACAAAAGATAATCTCACATTGTTTCATAGGAAATCATTTATTGACCTACTTCCACATGAGTCCTTTGATTTTGAGCCTTTTGCTAGCGTTGTAAGTCCACTGGGACATTGACTACACTTAGTTGCGCCATAAACATCGGAATAGTATCCCATGGAACATAGAGAGCATCCTTGAGGGTTAAGAGGGATATCGAAGCCGTCTTTCGAAATTGAACCGGGCTTGCATTGGTCTGTTGAAAGAGAAAGACATGATCTAGTAAGAGCAGTGTAATAATCTAATTATGGAAATTATGGCCTTATCAAACGAAGATATAATGCATGGTTTGCATGTTTTACCCATTTACCCATTCGATTGAAAAGGTTATCACTGTCAATTGTAAATATTATTGCAGTAATTAATTAATCAAGCAAGTATAATGTCTCACAATCGATTGTTAGGATCATTACTTATCATGTAAGATGGACTATATTAACCTATGCAAAAATACTACAATCTAATATTTACAGAATTGAAATCTATTTTCATAGTATATAGCTAGTGTTCAAGAGACAAAAGAACGGCGACCATATTGGATAAATGAACAATACATACTAATGAAAAATCCTTTGTTGAAGCCAACCAAGATGGCCGATGGGGCGTATATTGCAAATTAAGGATATACTTATGGTTTTTGTGAGGTTATTTTAGATATGGATAGTTTTGGAATTACTTACCCAAGCACGTTTTTGATCCAGGCTTATCGGTGGATTTTCCTGATGGGCATTTGGTGCATGTTGAGCTTGATTCGGCCATACTTGTATATCCTATGGGACACTTGACGCAGTCTTTGGATTCGTACTTGTACCCTCTTGGACACTTAACTGGAATCGAAAATATGACCTTTTTTTAAAAAAAAATATGGATTTGATTTCTTATTATTGAAAACATAAATGTGATTTTACCACAGTATTTGATGAAGGTGGGATATCCTGTCAGACTTGTTTGGAGGATCATTCCAGCAGGACAAGACTCGCCATTGTTTATTCTTTTTGCATCTGTAAAAAAGGATTTAGAGGATTTCATATGGGCATGCTGAGATATGGTGGTGAAAGTGAGCGCAGACGAAAAAGAACTATTTATACACGAAATATTCTAACAACTATGTTATTTTTTGCTTTTCATATAATTGGGTCAGTTATACTGACTTTAGTTTTATCAAAAAAATCGTTGTCATGAATGAACGGCGTTTGTCGAGATTGCATGACCAAAATGACGTGAAATTCCGCTGTTTTACATACAAAATTTCACTTGTTGGATTCAACTTTCGTAAAAGATGGACAAAATTGAGCCAATGTTCTTCGTAGACTATCTTACAGTACATATCGGTTATTATTTCCTATCAAGTAGAAGAAACCATGGCGCCTTTCGGTCGTGCAATTGTGGTTTCCCACAATGGCTTATAGTGTTACTAAAATTAATATTTCGACAAATCACAACCCAACTCCATTTTTTTCCCTTACCTACACAGTCGGGGATTTCGTTCCATTTTGCCTCAGGAAGTCGACAATTTGCTCCATAAGTAAATTGGAATATCTGCTTACCAGGGTCACACGTGATTCGGCAGTAATGAGTGGGTCCAAAACTCCTACATTGTGTTAATTTTCCATTTTCTGGTGGTTTTGGCGTTGGACATTCTAACCCTGTAACAACTCACAGTCAATATGAATTTAACAATTTAATAAGCCTTTTTCTCGTTCAATGCTAGCGTCCACTGTTTTAGTACACAACAGACTCACTTGCGTACTAGAAAACAAAGAAATTACGAAAAAACATTGACATTACAATAGCTCTACAAATTTGGAAAAAAGGCTTAGCGTCAAATCGGAGAAAATGCAAATTTTTAGGGCTATTGACAACATTTTTTTGTCTCTGCGTATGAGAGACAGCTGTCAACTAAAACAGCGATTGCTCGGTTTGCACGTGCGGTTTGAACGGGAAAAAATATAAAGCGTATTACATTTATTTGGAGTAAGTGCATTTTCTGTATTAAAAAATACCCTAAGAACCCTACATTCGAAGCCTGTTGTTTTATCATCCTAAGCATATCATCATAATTGTTGTACACTTACTTTTGAGAGAGACATCGAGAGAGCATGTTGCTACATTTCCAGCAGCATCCCTTGCCCAGTACGTTACAATAACCTCTCCATGATAGAACGTATCGCCTGATTTCTTGTTTGACGTAACAGCTGTGTCAGCGCAAAGAAAAGGATTTTATTAGTACGATAAATAATGTTTGGGTTAAATAAAAATCGTTGTCAAAAGTAAATCATTTTCGTATAGCACTTTTACTTCTTCT